ACACACACACACAAAGTGATAGGCAGTATAGAGTCCATCAGGGCGGCAGCAAGCTGAAAGCTGAATCGAGTTTGATCCGAATCAAACCAGCTGATGATAAGCCCTCATATCTCCCACCTCAACTGTGCCACACCTCTTTTTATTTGCAAGTGTTGAATATGTGAGCAATTATAGAAAAACTGGAAACAATGGAAAGCTGCAAAAACAACCAAACAATAACAAGCGTTCCCACCCCCTAACATTAGCTCCCAAACGGAAACACTGGACATGCTTTGGCAAACTGCCTCCCCGCCCCTTCAGGAGGGTGTTTGTAGTCCTATGCAGTCCTCTCCTGCCTCTTCACTTCTCCTGCTCTCTAAGCATTCCTTCCGCTTATTTTATTTCTTTCATCGTGATCATAATATGTACATAAAATTCATCATTTTAACCATTTTCGAATTTCCGCAGCACTAAGCATGTTCAGTTAGGCAACCATCACCCTTATTCATTTCTGGAACTTCTCATTATCTGCATTGTACATCTGTAAAAATTACCTAACAAACAACATTAAATAGTTGAGTAATATCCTGCCACATATAATTTACTATATCCCATTCACCTGCAAACACATAGCAAATATTTATTTTGTGCTCACTGTCATAGTTTATAAGTAAGGTAGTAATCAAAATATGGTATCTGGGGGGCTGGAGCGATGGCTTGGCAGTTAAGGGAACTGAGCGTTCTCGTAGAGGAGCTGGGTTCCGTTCCTAGCACCCACGTGGTGGTTCACAACTGCCTGTTCCTCTAGTTCCAAGGGATCTGATGCCCTCTTCTGGCCTCTTTGGGCACCTGGCATGCATGTGATGTGCAGATAGACAAGTAGGCAGAACATCTATAAATAAAAATTAATAATGCTAAAAACATTAAAAAAAAACAACTGTGTGTGTTCTACAGGACCTTAGAATCCAGGAGGAAATGGCCAGTTTGAGCCCTGCAGTGGTGTCAGAGCAGGGTCGGTGGGGTCATCTAAATGAGGGGAGTTTGACTTGAGGTTTCATTTATGAGATCACTCCTTGATTGTCACAAATCTATCTCATGCATCAGTTCTTTGCTTTCATATAAATAATAATAATCGTGAGCTGTTTGTTCATACAGATCTTTGGTCATGCCTCATATTTAGCCTTTATGTTCTCCCTGAAGGAATTCTTGTCTTTTTTTTTTTTTTCCTTTTTATTGTTTTCTTCGGTGTTCCACTGTGTAGCTCTGGCTGGCCTCAAAGTTGCCACACTCCTGCCTCCACGTTCCAATCACTGGGACTATAGGTGTCCTCTTCTGTTTGTTTCTGTGATGGTACTCACTTTCCTTCCTAAAGATGTAGCTGTACTGACTGGTGTCTAGAGTAGGTACGAGTCACGTGGTAGAGTGTGTTCCTCATGCTCTCTTGCCTCCAGCCCACAAGTCCTTGTACAGTGTTCTTTGCATCTTGGCTGTTTCTCTTAACTCTTGGAAAAAGTAGTGAGGTACCTCTTACTTGACTCATTTAGTGGTGTTGGGTTCTGAGAAATACTACATACTCTGGTGATACAGTAAAGGCAGGGAACTGGCCTGGGCTGAACAGAACAGTTTACTAGATAAAGTCTGACTTTATGGAGCAGAGATATTACACAGGCTTCTGATATATTTGTTTTGTGATGGTTGAGAGAGAATGTGCAGGTCTTAAGATGTGCCTCCAACAGCACACACGCACATTGGTGCTAGTTTATGTATGTTTTAAAAATACGCAGTTAATCTTCCTTTTAAGGCTATATTTACAGGTGGAAAAAGTGTGGACGTGGAGGTCGTGGCTTGCCTGACATGTGGCAAGGCCCTCAGCTGTGTCTCCAGGGTCACACACTTGGGATGTTAGTATTGCTGAATTAGACACGGTGCCATCATCTTCACTTCTGCAGAATGACATTAACCACAGGACCAGGGGTTGTGACAGCAAAAATTAGAGAAAGGGCCTGGGATTCGTCTGAGGCTGTGAGCCCTGAATCAAGTTTTGTACAACTGGAAAAAAAATCCCAGCTTTAAATTCTAGACAATTTCCGGTACAATTCAAATTGCAAAACATTTCGCTGTGTCATCAAGCCCTTCCCATGAAGAGTGGAACGAATGATTTCTCTTTCCTTGTCAGTTTTTTTTTAATGTTTACAATTCCATCCGTAATTAGAAAGCATTGGCGTTTTCATTATGAAAATGGCTTTCCTGAGTATAAAGCCCAAACCACTAAATTCAGTTGTTTAAAACTCACTGGCGTTAACCTATGCAGTTACTTTTATGTGAAAAGCAACTTAAAATTGATTTTGGGCATTCTGAGTTTGCTCAGTCGTCACAAGAGGCCGTGGGAGTCAGAGCAACTGCTGAAGGGTCTCAGGGGTTCACAACTCCGCACACAGCTGACTCTGCTTTTTCCTCACTTGTATTCATTTGCTTGGACAGCCTTAAGAGTATTACAGATGTTTATTTTCAGATGTTTATTTCCTCACTGTTCTGGAAGGCCTAGGTCAAGGTGTCAGCCCCCCTGGTCTCCTGAGGTCAGTCTCTGTACTTGCTTACAGCTGCCCCTGTATCTCCACATGGTTTTCCTCAGTGTGCACACACATGGTATCTCCTCCTGCAGACAAAAGTCCTCTGTTCAGGAACCAGTCTGATTAGACCCCACCCTAACAGCCTCGCGTTGGTTAACACAGTCACTTCCTTAAAGTCTGCGGCTCCAAATGGTCCCCTCCAGAGGAGCCAAGCGTTAGGACTTGGACATGGGGATCTTGAGGAGTCACAGTTTCCTTAACATCTATTTCAAACAGCATTGTTTTGTTTTCATACAGGGAGATGAATATGAAGGAGACATCAAGATTAGCACTTTGCCATGGTACTGTCTGTTACTAGCGGGGAGGGGGGTAAGAGAAGAAAAGATACGTGAAACTGCTTTGATAGTAAAGGAAAACCAACCTTCCGTGTCCTGTCCCTGGCCTGACAAGTAACTTCTGACATTTTCACTTTTCCTTTTTTTGTTTTTTGTTTGTATTGAGGCTGGATGCAGTTTTCTCCATGTGTTAATGTGTCATAGGGAGGCATCCATGCGCTGACTACCCTGAAATGCTATGTAGCAATTCATCGTGTGTGTTGTTAATAGTGGGCATTTGGGCTGCTTCCAGGGCCACTCCCACTGCTAACTCCCCAAGTGGAGAGCTGTATTCCCTTTAAAGCTTAAGATGCCACTTAATAGAGTAGGCCAGACTGCTTTTTGGTGAAAACAGTCTTTGTTTTCCAGCTTCCTGTTTATTGTTGGTTAGGGCTGTGTGAACCTTTCAGCCTCTTGGAAGAGGCCCACGCTATGCAGGGAAGGGTTTTCCCTCAGCCCTACCCAGGAATAGGGGTCTGTCTGAGTCACTAGCGGAAGTGCCCACTTGCAGTTAAGTCAGACAGACGTTCTTAATGACTGTTGCCTGTGACTCCTTTCTGCCTGCCCCCAGCCTGTGGCAAGGTGGCCAGGAGCCAGCTTTGTACTGGAATGTGAGCAGTCTTAGCATTCACCAAGATCCCGATCCCGCTGCCGGCCAGGGTGGCCAGTGGCTCCTGAGATTAGCAGATCCTCTAACCCAACCCATGTGGCTTGGATGCTGAGGGTGGAGCAGAGCTCTGCTTGCTGCAGGGTTTCCTACCCTATCCTCTTACCCTTAGGTGTCACCTGCCAGTAGTTTATAAGCTGGGCCAGGGTGCAGATGCTCTTTATGTTTCTGGAAAAGAGGCTGTCTCTTAGAGGTGTTCCTCATTGCCAGGGCCCCGCAGAGTCCCTTTTCACCCCGAGACTTCTAAAACATACATGGCCAGTGTAATATTTACCTGGCTGTGAGAAGGGCTGGACGAGAATAGCCTTCTTCTAAAGCAGCCTTTGGCTCCCTTTGCAGACCCAAGGAGGCCCTGAGGTGTCATGTGTCTCCCTGATGGCATTGGTACTTCTGAGGCTCTGATTTTGTGGTGCTGTGGACATATTGTGCGTATGCGCCTGAGTACAGGAAATGTGTAGTTCAGCAACAGATTTTAAGGGTTGGCTGCAGGGTTTCTAATTACTGTTTGTTTGGTTCACCAGTGCCTAATAAGTGGATGTAAGTAACCTCAGGAGTGAAGAATGCAGTGCTCGTGTTACAGGCAATCATGCAAATCAAATTCTACCCGAGGAATTGCAGAGCACACACTGTGGAGTCATTGTTAGAAAAGCATCGGATTTTCAATTTAGAACAAGAGCAGTTTGGAACTATCCTACCTGCCAGGCTCTGACGTGAAGGACATTCACACCTGAAATCAGCTACTGTGTGCAAACCCATTTCAAACCCACCGGTGGTCCCTGGTGGTGTTCTCTTTTGAATTTAACAGGAGAACGAGGGAGAGAGAGACAGAGACTAGCTTCTCTTCCCGTCCTTCTCCCATCCATCATTGCCCATATAGGAAATGAAAGCACGGGTCTAGAACATGGGTGTCAACCTTGGGAACAGCTTGGCACCAGCTTGGGAATTTTCAGATGTCTGGGACTTGATTGCCAACTCCAAGGTTCTGGTTTAATTGTCTGGGATGCAGTCTCCACTGGGGTTTTAAGAAGCTCCCTAGGGGAATTACTCTATCCCCAGGATCAGACGCCTAGGATTTGAGAGGTCACTTCATGGGGTAAATCTCAGGCCTGGCCACACACTGGCAGTACCTGGAGGTTTTGAAGAAACCCTGATGCCCACCCAATCATACCACATTTCTGGAGGAGGGAATGCATCTCCGAAAAGCCCCCAGGACATTCTGGTGTGCAGCAAGAGTGTGGCCAACATACTGACTCACTGACCTAACCATGTGGGGTGGCTTGGTCAAGGTCAGACCTTTGTTGCAGAGGCAGGCCTGGAACTCGGGTCTGATGCCTCTTCTGGGCTTTCCGTTGCCCAATGCCAGTACTTACGTTTGTTTATTGTATTTATTGATACCTCCTCATCCTTCAGGTGATGCTCCTGACTCCAGGAAGCCTTTTCTGGCTCCTCATTTTCTCCTACCATCCGGTCTGGGTAAGATCCCCTCGGTTGTGTTTGAATGGCACTTTTATTTAGGGTTTCCCTCACTTGTGCGATCGGTTCGGGAGAACAGCCCCTAATATTGTTGTCACTGTGTTTGAATTTGTTGAATTGCAGCTCCCTAACTTTTGGTTAATCCGTCAGTCTACACGCGTTGCTAAAAATGATCGGATTCTGTATTTTAGCTCTGACAGCTAAGTTTATTTCCCATGGCCTACTGCATTATGGGTCAGGATACTATTGGGGGTAGGGAATGTTTTGCAAGACCGTTAATGGCAGTATAATGAAAACAAGATTTTGGTGACCTGGCATGTTGCTCGGGGTGCTTTGAATAGTCTGCTGCTGTCAGGGTGTTGACGTGACGAAAGGGAGCCTGTGACCCCCCTCAGCAGATCAAAAATTGTCTGATGAAAATAGTATTTCATGGAAATGTGCTTTAAGTCATCTTTGTGTTCATGCTGAATATGTAACTCTGAGAGGCCACGGGCCAAAGAGCTGAACTAAGTTCTTTGGCTTTGGGTATGCAAGTTTTCCTAAATGACAAAAAAAAAAAAAAAAAAAAGTTTTCTTCTGTTTTCCTAGATATTTAGAACCATGGTTTGTACTGGGAAATCTTTGCCAGCTTGGTGTGCCTATGTTTCCTGATTGTGGCTCTGCAGCCTATAGGTGGCTGTGATGTTCAGTGTGAATGTGACACATGACGAGTGTCATGTCATGGGTAGAAGGTTCAGAGTTGAACTTTCTTGGAACCGGTATGGCAAACTGGGCAGTGTTGGGGGTAGACCCCAGGATGTTAAGATGTTGAAGAACAGCGGCCAAAGTGCTCAGACCTGCTTTGAAATCCGCACGAGACATTTCACAGGTTCATTGTTAGCAGGGACTGTCACAACCAGGGTGTGTGGAAGCAGAACCGCCACACGTCAGGGAAAGCTTCCAAAACTAAACACTTCTAAAAGTGCTAGCGGAAAGAAAACAGATTTACTTGGAGATAAACGCAAAGTGTTTCTGTTTGCCTGTGTTCTGAGACAGGTTCTCATGTTGCAGGCTGGCCTTGAATTCACCATGTCTCAAGGATGTCCCTACACTCCTGATTTTCCTGTCTCTACCTCCTTAGTACTAGATCACAAGTGTGGACCACCACACCTAGTTTCAAACTGTAAAACATTTTCGTATTAGGTAACTTTACTATGTTGTAAAAAGGGCATTTTTCATCACTTTTAAATTTAAAAAAATCTCAAGAACAATTTCTGTCAGATTTTTTTTTTGTCTTTTTACATTTTGAATGAAGGACTTAACAGACCAGTAAAAGCCTATTGGTGAGTAACTAACTTTTGCAATTCAAACTTCAGAGGTATGACAACATTTTCTAGAAATAAAAAGGAAGAGAGAAATTAAACCTGCATTGTATTAAAGTTTGTATTAAACCTATAAGGCACAATGTTCCCATCTAGGCCACACTATTGGCCTTCTGTATTTGCCCTGCAATTTAGGACTCAGGTTTTATAAGTAAACACACACGCACACACACACACACACACACACACACACACACACACACACACTCACACTCCTGTTCACGAGGGAATGGAGTTGGAATTTAAACCCAAGTCTTTCTGATTTCAAAGTCCTGTGTCTTTGGCTGGTGTTGAGGTCTCCAAATAAGACTGTTTATTAACTGTGAGAATTTACTATCCTCATAGAAGAATGCTTGCTTTAGCTCAGTGTTTCTCAACCTGTGGGTCGAGATCCCTGGGGGGGGGCGGCGTCAAATGGCCTTTCACAGGGGTTGCCTAAGACCATCAGAAAACACAGATAGTTGCATTATGATTCATAACAGCATCAAAATTACATTTATGAAATAGCAATGGAATAATTTTATGGTTGGGGTCACCACAAGAGGAACTTTATTAAAGGGTCACAGGTTAGGAAGGTTGAGAACCACTGCGTTAGCTTCTTGGATTTTCTATTAAGCATTGGTACGTTAATGAGATGGCAATTGTTTGTGAAGTGTGGAAAAGGGAAGCAATGGACATATCAATGGGAATGTAAATTGTCAAGCTGTTTCATGTTATGGTTCTTGAAAACGTTAAAAGCAGAACTGCACTATCAGACAGTTTGGCTTCTATTATGTATCCAGAGGAAATGAAATCAATAATTATGTCTCTGTGGCCATTGAAGCATTGGTCACAGTAGCCCAAATATGGGAATACCTGTCTATTGATGATAAATGGATAGAAAAATTATGGGATATGTATGTGTGTATATGTATGTACACACCTACAAATATTATTTAACTGTAAAACGAAAGAATTGTGCCATTTGTGATACCGTAAATGACTCTAGAGGACACTGTGTTGAGTAAAATAAGGCCAAAAATAAAAGCCAAATGCTGCTTATTTGTGGAATCTGAAAATGTCAAACTCATTGAAGCCAAGAATAACAGTGGTTATCGGTTGTCGGGGCTGGAGGAGGGAAAATGAACATGTGCTGATCAAACAGAACCTAAGTTCAAGGGGAGGGTGTTCTAAGGACCGTGCGCAGCAGAGTGGTGGTGTGTATGGCAAGGAACTTGACGGAGGTGTTCTGCACACGATGTATGTGCACAGCAAAGACCCTTATGTGCGTGTGCTCACTCTTTGCCAGTTGCATAATCTTAAGAGGGTAGAGCTGATGGCTGGAAATCTGTGATCTGATTCTCAGGTACATTTCATTTGGAAGAAGCAGATGAGCAAAATGGTGAGTGATTTGCCCTTCATCACCGACATCCTGGACTTGGGAATTCAGTCTCCATGGTGTGCTACCTGTGTGATTGTGGGCAAGTCACTTAATCCCTCTGTGTTAGTCTCTGCATCGGTCAAATGAGACATCATAGTTTCACTGCATTATTTCCTTCCGACAGGCCCTGAGTTAGAAAAACATAGCAGCCCTATAAAATGATTCTGTCCTACGCCACAGATCTAGTTTTCTCTGCGGAGACATTGTCCACTTCCTGTTTGGGAAGCTTGTCCATAGGCCTCTGGGGTTCCCAGGTAGGTCGCAGGGTTTCCTGGTTGCTTCCTGGACACCTCTTATTAAGCTGGGCAGGACGAGACATTCTTATTCTAGCTGAGCTGAGGATCGCTATTCTGGACCCTTCTGTCGTCTGAACACACTTCTAGATGAGGAATGTGGTGATGGAGCTTGTTCCTGCACAGTGAGTCACACAGGTATGTGTGTGGAGTTCAGGCTTATCTGGTGTGTCACCTTCCTAAAATGTGCTGTTTCCTTAGCTCTGGGATGCTACTTCACCAGAATTCTGTGCACAGCTCACTTCCTTCTTGGAACTGCTTCCCACCTTGTCTTCCCAGCTCCTGTAATCCATTCTTTGGTCCTCTGTTAGCATTTCCTTCACTGTAGGATGTCAGGAAGTTGGCTTTTTGTTTTTCTGGTGTGGTTTGGACTCCCTTTCCCCACATACTCCTATGTACCCCAAGGGCTTCAGTTACAACCCTTTTAATTTTGAGTTTCAAACTCTCCATCTGTCCGTTCTCCAAGGATGAAGTCTAGATTTGCTCCATGTCTCACCTACTCCATCCTGCCCCTTCCTCTGGTACCTTCCCCATCTATGGATGGTGTTACCCTCTCTCTCTCCCTATTTCCAGAGTTGAAATGATATCTGCATGTACTGGGAACCAGCCTTGGTTTCTCTTTTGCTGTCTTTATTCCTGCCGGTATTTGAGTCCTCCTTCCAAAACGATCTTGTGTTTGTCTCCTCTGTCTCCACTTGGGTCAGCCTGTCACCAGCCCTCAGCAGTGGTCTACTGATGGGTGTGCGACTCCCACTTTTGCACCAGAAAGCTCTATGAGGCTGTCGTGCCCTGCCGTTGCTTGCCTGGCAGTGGGCGTTTCATCGGGTACCATCTGGATTCTTTCTCCACCTCAGCTGGTTGCCGAGCCCTTCATCTCTGCCTTCCTTTGGAGTCACATTGGCTGGGTATCATGAGATGTCTGACGTGAGGATGCACTCTTTCTCTGTTGTTTTCTTTAGTCTTGGTGGCTGACGACAAGGCATTGTCTTACGTGCACCAAATCCTTTTCTGCTGTCATGCCATCCACCTTCCCTCTTCCCCCAAAGCTTCCCTCTTGCAGTCAACATCTGTCCCATCCTTTCAGGTCTCGGATGTCGTTCCTCAGGGCCTCTCCTCTCACTGCTTGCCCCAAATCGTTGCCTGTAGGATCATCTGTCACGGCAACCTGTTTATTTCCTTCTTATCACTAAGTAGTGTACGTTACTTTGGAAGTACTTATGCCAGGCTTTGATTGCAGAATTAGAGCTCCCCACCCAGGACAACATTTTATGATTTGTGCACTGATGCATCTTTTGCATGCACATATTGTAGGGGCTAGATATCATGAGATGTTTGACAAGAGTGTGGACTCTTTTTTTCTTTTAGTCTCGGTGATTGACCCCAGGGTGTATGTCTGTTAGTCAAGTGCTCCACCACTGAACTGTGTCTACCTCTTCCTTTTTGTAAAAACCCATTTGTGTGTGTGTGTGTGTGTGTGTCTGTGTGTGTGTGTGTGTCTGTGTGTCTGAGTGTATGCCTGAATGAGTTTGTGTACCATGTATGTGTGGGAACACATAGAGGTCAAGGGCACCATATGTCCCTGGAACTAGAATTAGAGGTATTGTGAACCACCACGTAGGTGCTAGAAATCCTAATGGGTCCTCTACAAGAATGGCAAATACTCCTAACTGCTGATCCGTCTCTTTGGTCTCTCCCTTGTAAGGAGTGAGACAGAAAAAAAAGTTTAAAAATATTTGCAAAGTTAGCCTTATGCTTGCACAATTGGTAAATTAAATAATTCCTAAGGTTTGTTGTGCAAGTGGCACTATCTCCTATTCACTGTTCCCTAGAGACCAGTGTTTCCAGCTTGGACTGTTTCTTATAGTCATCTCCCTGCAGTGCATTTCTAATCAATATACTACAATTGTAATTTATCTGTTTTCAGGG